GACTTGTCTTATATACTGTCCTTCCTCGGGTTTTCTATTGAGCTATGAACTTATTTCAGTCTTCATTAGACAAAGACCTGACTTTTCTATAGGAAAAATACCTTCAGTAGATCAGATGTAGAAAAAAACTTTTTGAGACCTTTTCAAGTCTTAAATATACAGAAGACCTTCCTTACTTCTTTCACAGACAATACTCCTTCCTCAGATTTTCTACAGACAGAAGAATTATTCTAAAGAAAAATCTTTCGGAAGCATTAGCACTGTATCTGTTGTCACCTTCTCTCCAACTTGGTCAATCCAGGCTTGCACTATCTACATAGCTTGCTATGCACGTTCTAGACGAATATCCCATACAATCACGATGTTCAAGTAGTCCGTATACGCACAAACCTTGAAGGAGGCAGCTCCTACAACAGAGGATCCACCATGAGGTTCCATATACATGGATCACAAATGGAAATCTACATGCAACCTCGCTGCATATCCCTCAATACTAAAATATCGGCTCCCACGACACCAGCCTTCGTATCTCCAAAATAACTCGCGCAAAGTGTATCCGATCTCTGACAACCTTGTGTGCAAACTATCCCATAAAAGAAAGTCAAAAGCGCCTTCGAGATCCACAAATATACCAAGAACATATTTTGAATTTGACCCGCTCAGGCTATCTTACACACGCCGTCATTCATTAACGGTGCCTCTACCTTCAATAAAACCGAACAGACACAAGGCTGTAGCATTCCATAAGCCGTACTTTTGGAAAAAAAGAAAGAAAATCTCCAGAACTTTTCCATGAAATGGAAGAAGACTTATGCCTCGATACAAGTGCCAATCACTTCTCACCCGATCTGGTTATTTAAGCAACACAAATCGAGCACTCTCAAACACGCGGAAGCAACGCTGACAAATACAGCTGGAGAAAACATACTCGAAATATTCCGGCATGACCTTCCAGATGGCTTTAACCATCCTTTCAATCATATCATCCATGCCTTCAGAAATTGTCCACAACTTCAATGCGATCGGAGACTCCCTCATTTCATCAGCAACTTCAGGAAATGATTGAGTCTCCGATACCAGAAAAAAATGTTCCCCACAAAAGTCCTACGCTCTCCCCCCACCCGACGTGATGGGCGTAGAGCTGCTACGTAAAGTTGACATTATCACATAAAAAGAAGTCAAATGTCCCTTCGAAATCCACAAATATGCCAAGGGCATATATGGAATTTGACTCGCTCAGCCTATCTTACACATGCCGTAACGCATCCACGGTACCTCTACCCTGGGTAAAACCGAACTGATACAAGGACGTGCCTTCGATGTAGCATCCGCTTAGCCGTGCATAATCATCTCCAGTACTCTTCCTGGAATTGGAAATTCCTGCAGGACTTTCCAGGTAGCTTTAATCATCATTTCTATAATACCATCAACAGAACAACAGAAACTGACCATGCCTTTATACGATCCAAACCTGGAAACTTTCTCATTTTACCAATAACTGGAGGAAATGATGGAGTCTCCGAATCCAGAAAGAAGGTCCCCATCAAAAGCCCTATTCTTCGAGGTGATTGTCGTATAGCTGCTACGCAACCTTTGTAGGGCAATCTGACGCTTAGACCGACCCTGCCGACAAAAAGGTTATAAAATACCCCATGGATAATCTCCATTGTGCCGTACAAATCTCCTCCAATTGTTTTCTTTACTCCAATATTCCAGCTCTTCTTTGTACGTTCTGAGAGTAGCAAGGAATTCGGATTTACGCTGAGCTAAATATTTCGCATAGGCTCGCCTGGCTATTTGAAAGCGCCGCCTAACTTGCCGCCGCACACTCACAGGTTCATCATTTGTCCTTACTTTGCTTAGTCTGAAGACGACTGTCAAGGAGGTTCAGGACTTCTACAGGCAACAGATCTCTTCAATAGTTAGGAGTCTTCTTCAGCTTTTCATTAGATAAGCTACTACAGAGAACGGAACTCTTTAAGATATTTTTTAACTGAAAGCCTCATTCTATCAGGTTGTCTATAACCTATAATTTTTTAGGTCAGAAAACCTTCATTGGGTTTCAGAAAATTGTCTGTAGATCTTCTATATACGGAAAAAATTATGTAGGACATCTGCAAAAAAGGGATTTGATCAGGTCTTTTGAAGACAGAAGAACTTCTTCTTCCTTTATAGGGTGAGGACCAGCTTCAGTTCTTCCATAGTCTTCTACAAATTGAGGTACTTTAAGGCAGAATACTTTTGTCAGGTATTTCGAAGACATAATACCTGATACAGGTATCCTTAAGACAGAATGCCTTCTGCGGATCACCAAATATCTGAAGAACTTCTAAAGTCAGAAGACCCTTTTCTGGACATCTGTAGAAAAATGCTCCGGCCAGGCCTTATGTAGACAGAATAACTTCTTCAGATATACTATAATAAGAGGTTCATATTTAGGACTACTGTAGACTTAGAACCATCTTCAGTTCTTCCATAATCAGCGGATCCACATTATCTTCCATATAAGACCTGCTATAGTCAAGGGTCCCTCTTCAGCGTTTCGATAGATGGAAAACCCTTCAATCTTTTTATAAAGAATGCCTCCATAAGGTCCGTTTTCTTAAGCTCCGAACAATGCTTTCAGGCCTAATTTTTTATACCCTTCACCACACTGTGGTACAGGGTATTATGTCTTTGTGCATATGTTTGTAACAGGCAAAAATAATCGAGATAGACCCATGGTTCCTTTTGAGAATATGCATAGAATCACTTTCTGAGTCGATTTATGCATGTCCGTCTGTCCGTCTGTCCGTCCGTCCGTCCGTCCGTCTGTCCGTCCGTCCATGTATTTTTGTTAACAAAGTACAGGTCGCATTTATGATCCGATTTGGATGAAATTTGGCACAGGTCACTTAATTGGCCCAAGGACGAACCCTATTGAAATTGGAGAAAATCGGTCCACGTTTAGGCATAGCTCCCATATAAGGGTACCCCAAAATTTTCGGTATTTTGAGGTTCTTGGGCGCGTTTTTTAACTGAATTCGCTGAAATTTGGTACTTTGAGTTCTTATTGGGTAGCAAATCTCTCTACCAAAAATTATAAATAAAGGTCCATTTTTTCGGATAGCCCTTATATAAGATTACCCCCAATTTTCGGTATTTTGGGGGTTTTGATCGCATTTTCCGACCGAATTCGCTGAAATTTAGTACTTTGTGTTCTTATTGGGTAGCAAATCTCCCTACCAAAAATTATAAATAACGGTCCATTTTTTCGCATAGCCCCCATATAAGGGTACCCCCAAATTTTCGGTATTTTGAGGTTCTTGAGCGCGTTTTTTAACTGAATTCGCTGAAATTTTGTACATTGAGTTCTTATTGGGTAGCAAATCTCCCTACCAAAAATTATAAATAAAGGTCAATTTTTTCGGATAGCCCCCATATAAGATTACCCCCAATTTTCGGTATTTTGGGGGTTTTGATCGCATTTTTCGACCGAATTCACTGAAATTTGGTACTTTGTGTTCTTGTTGGGTAGCAAATCTCCCTACCAAACATTATAAAAAAAGTTCCATTTTTTTCGGAAAGCCCCCATATAATGGCACCCCCAATTTTCGGTATTTTCGGGTTTTTGGGCTCGTTTTATAACTGAATTCGCTGAAATTTTGTACATTGGGTTCTTATTGGGTACCAAATTACTCCACTAAAAATTATAAATATAGGTCCAGTTTTTCTGGTAGTACCCATATAACGGTACCCCAAAATTTTTGGTATTTTGGGGGTTCTGATCGGATTTTTCGACCAAATTGACTGTAATTTAGTACGTCGAGTTCTTATTAGGTAGCACATCTCTCCACTATAAATTATATATATTGGTCATTTTTTTCTGGTAGCCCCCAGGTTTTGAGGTTCTTGAACCAATTTTTTTTTTTCTGGTACAGGGTATTATGTTTTTGTGCATATGTTTGTAACATGCAAAAATAATCGAGATAGACCCATGGCTCCTTTTGAGAATATGCATAGAATCACTTTTTGAGTCGATTTAAGCAAGAAATTTGGACAGCGTAGCAAATTAGGTCTAGAATGATGTGTGTAAAGTTGCCTGAAAATCGGTTCAGATTTATATATAGCTCCCACATATACTTTCGTCAGATTTAATGTAAATGGTGCACCAACGTCCCTATATATCTTTCGATTTGCACGAAATTTGGCACAGCGTAACAAATTAGGTCTAGAATGATGTGTGTTAAGTTTCCTGAAATCGGTTCAGATTTAGATATAGCTTCTATATCTGACCAAATGAACAATTTAGTATCGGTTGCAGAATGACGTGTTTATGGTTCCAATTTCATTTTACTGGTCCTTTAAAAATGCGACTTCTGGTAGGATTCATCTGTTGAATATACTCAAAGTGGTGAAGGGTATCATATAGTCGGCCCCGTCCGACTTTACTGCTTTCCTTACTGGTTTTTATTTCACAAAAGGTGGGGCTTATATACGACGTCTATAGAACGATAACTATATATAGGTCTTTAATAGTTTCCAGACCATCTCCTATCGGTAGAAAATTTTACATTTATCCTGGAGAACATCTGTCAAGTGTTTACTTGTACTCTCCCTCTTTTGAACTTAACTACTTACTTTCCCATTTATTTTCTGGGTTTTCTCTTCCCCCACAGACAAAGACATACACACCCACACACATCGACTTTGCAACATATCACTTCAAATTGCAACTAATCCTGACACAAGACTTTTTAAACAAACAGTTCACATTTAGATATTGACAGATAAAATGGAACAAAATGACACAGACATAGATTACAATGACTTATATGCATATGTATATATATATGTACGTATGTATAGTGTATAGTGTATGTGTGTGTGTATAACCCGATTGGAAAAGGATTCCAAACAGGAGGGCTATAACAAGTGGAAATATAATTCTGGTATTCAAGGAGGAGCAGGAAAATAGTAGTTTTACTTGCTGTAGTTCTTGTTGTTTAGGTCGTAGTTGAGATTTACTTCACAAACGAAATGTTATAACGGGTGCGGAACGTGGCCCCCGTTGGTTATTGGTCGTATGCAGAATACTGCTATTAAGGCGACACACACACAAGTGTGTATTGTTGCAGACATTCTCGTGATTTTTGCGGGCAATGGTCGGTAATTCAGCAGCATTGATATTGACATTGTCGTCGGAACGACGATTATAGATGCATTTGGTGGCACAATTACAATAGGAATTTTTTACATAACGCAGTCGTTGTTGCGGTAGTTGTTGCTGTTGTTGTTGGTTCATGGACGACAACCCATAGGGCAGATGTTTCATATAGTGGGAATTCAACAACATCGGATGTAGGGTATTTGTACTATTTGTTGTACTACTATCGGGATCAACATTACTGATGAGATCCGGTGTGGCATCGTTGCACGTTAAGGCAGGAACTTGCGAATGATGATCTTCCAATTTGTTGAGCAGCCAATAGGTGCGCATATCTCCCTTACCCTGTAATAGAAAAATAATAAGAAATAGTAGTTATTTTTTAAAATAAAATATAGAACATATTTTGAATTGAGTGCAGCACAAGGTAGGGTACTTTATAACAATTAGAACAAGTCATTTTCAATATATCTATGAGCATACATTTGCTCAACGAACGTTTTTGAATTTAAAAGTATTGTTAAGTATTTTTCAAAAGATTTCTGCCACAGTAGGGGTTTTATGGACATTCATTTAAAATCATATCAAATTAAATAGTTGTTCAAGTTGCCGGTAGTTGGCGCTGTTGGTGTTTGTAGTGTAGACACGTACCACCAATAGAGAACTAAGTCGTTTGATACGATTGTAATCGAATGACCATAAATGTCCTACTTCATTCATTACGAAGAATAGTGAAAGCCTACTGATAATTAGTTGTTTGTAAGTTTTCCACCCAACGAGGAACCAGAAATAATTACAAATTTGGATAAAAATTATTGTTACTTTCTTCAAAATATCGTAAATTCATGGTATCGTTATATGTGGTATATACTATAAAGTGGATACCCTCATTAGACAGAAGACCCAGTGATGATATGTTAAAAAGAAAATAGCTTTTTCAAGTCTTCTATAGTCAGATGCACTCCCTCCGATCTTCTATAGGCATAAAATCTTCCTCAGGTCTTCCATGATTAAAATTTAATTTTATAATATCATGCGAATGTGCCATCCGATTTGAAACAAACTTTGTACAACCTATTATCTTTACCAAGCCTATCAAGTCCTAACATGTCCGAATTCTAGTACCTCCCTCACGGATTATGCGAATGGAATGTCTGATTTGAACCAAATTTTGCTAAACCTATTAGATTTATCAAGCCTAGATCAAGTTCGAAGGTGACCCTTTTTGGTACCTCCACCAAAACATTGGGGGTATTGTTATATGGGCTATGTCCAAAAATGGACTGATATATCCAATCATCGAAGCCTAGATCAAGTTCGAAGGTGACCCTTTTTGGTACCTCCACCAAAACATTGGGGGTATTGTTATATGGGCTATGTCCAAAAATGTACTGATATATCCAATCATCGAACTTGATCTGACTGCAGACAACACCTTATCCCAATTCCTTCGGAAGACATGGGAAAATCGTCTTGGAATTTTCCATTGTCAAATAATATACTTTATTCGGTCGGAAACGATTTTTTCGATTAGTAACAGACGAAGTGACAAAAGTTAGGAAGAGTATTAGGCTGACGTCAGAGTGTAAGCGAGAAGCGATGCGATACTACATGATATAATTGTTCATGTTATTTTAATGCTGTAATATGGCATTGTAAGGGATTCTCCCTGTTACAAACGTGGCCATTTAAAGAAAATCTTTTGAGAAATTCTTGAAGATGTAAGCGTAGAGTTTTTCAGAGTACTTTTTAAGATATTCTCAGATTATTCTTAAGGAACCTTCGGAGCAAACACATATAAGCTAGTAACAGACAAAAGGAAATGGGATAGCACCATGGTTCCTTTTGAGGACATACATAGAATCACTTTTTGAGTTTATTTTAGCATGTCCGTCTCTCCGTCCGTTTGTCCATGTACCTTTGTGAACAAAGCACAGGTCGCATTTATGATCCGATTTGTAGAAAATCGGTTTTGATTTAGATATAGTTTCGTCCGATATAATGTAAATGGTGTACCAAAGTCACTATATATCTTTCTAGAATGATGTGTGTTAAGTTTCTAGAAAATCAGTTCAGATTTAGATATAGCTCCAATATATAGTTTCGTTCGATTTTATGTTAATGGTGCACGAAAGTCACTATATTTCTTTCGATTTGCGCGAAATTTGGCATAGCATACTGAATTAAGTCAAGAATGATGTGTGCTAAGTTTCGTGAAATAGCTGCCACATATACCTTCGTCCGATATTATATAAATGGTGCACCAAACTCCCAATATTCTTCCGATTGAGACAAAATGTTGCACAGGTACTGAATTAGGTACAGATTGATATATACCAAAATTTGTTAAAATCGGTAAATATTTAGATATTGCTCCCAGAGATAGTTTCGTCCGATTTTATGAAAATAGAGCACCATACTGTCAATATTTGTCCGATTGGACAGAATTTTGCACAACGTACTGAATTGGGTCTGGATTGATGTATGCGAAGTTTTGTTAAAATCGATTCAGATTTAGATATAGCTCCCATATATGGTTTCGTTCGATTCCTGTAAATGGTGCACAATATTTTCAATGTTTATCCTATTGAGGTAAAGTTTTGCCAAGCGTCCTGAAATTACTGCAAGTTGACGTCCGCGAAATTTTGTGGAAATCGATTCAGATTTAGATATAGCTCTCATATATATTTTCGTCCGATTTTAAGTAAATGGAGCATCATAGTGTCAATAAGACAAAATTTAGCTTAGCTTACTGAGAATACTTCACGCAGTTAATTTCATCCGATCCCATTTCAATACTCTCCCAAATAAGCTAGGTATATTCTATCAAAAGGATATTGTACATATTAGCATCTCTTGTATGTACCCAAAGTGGTAAAGGGTATCATATTGTCGACGCCGTCCGACTTTAGTACTTTCCTTACTAGTTTCTTATTATACACATCACCACACTGTGGTACAGGGTATTATGTCTTTGTGCATATGTTTGTAACAGGCAAAAGAAGACGAGATAGACACATGGTTCCTTTTGAGAATATGCATAGAATCACCTTCTAAGCCGATTTATGCATGTCCGTCCGTCTGTCTGTCCATGTTAAATTGTAAACAAAGTACAAGTCGCATTTATGATCCGAATTGGGAAAAATCGGTTCAGATTTAGATATAGCTCCCATATATAGTTTCGTCCGATTTCATGTAAATGGTGTACCAAAGTCCCTATATATCTTTTGATTTTCACCAAATTTGCCATAACGTACTGAATTGAGCCTAGAGTGATGTATGCTGTAACTTTCTTTTACAATCAACTTCTCGGATCTATGTAAATATACATTTGACCAGCTAATTATTGACCGATCTTCATGAAAACAAGCATGCTTATTCTTTGGCCCGATCCTCTTCTTCGAATCCCCATAATTGCGGCATCAGAAGTGACAGGGTACTCAAAAGAACCCAATGCAAAATTTTAGCCGTCAATGCAAAATTTTAGCCGCAAAATTATAGCCGTCTATATACATCGGTAACTGTTGCAATACGGACGTGTTCTTCAATCGCTCCTCGTTAATACTCAATTATTTACCTGCCTGTATAAGATAAACGTTATATTAACGCAATAACCAACAAGATATTGTGTTCACATATCGAGAACATTCAAATAATCACACATTGTGGTGCTTGTGCCTCATTTTCAGCAAAACAAAAACATAAAAAAACTTTGATATTTTGTGAACGACAAATCATCGGTTCCTGAACTGGATAAGCTGTTTGAATCACCCTGTTGTTCATCTGTTTCTAATCACCCTGTCAATTCTTTGATTACGCTCAGTGTTCGAAAATAAACAATCTTTTTGTAATTTGAATCAATCAACAATACATACAAATTAAAATGTCTTGTTTGAACAAAAATTGCAAAATAAAATCTGATACAGAAAGAATGATAACTTGTTGGCTGTGTCACGAAAATTCTCACATTAAATGTAGCGACATTTCTGGTCTAGTTGCCGATGTCATTTCAAACAATAAGGGAGTTCATTGGTGCTGCACTGATTGCAGAAAAATCGGTGTAAGTTTTTACCGATTTTTCCAATCAAAAAAGAAAATATTTCTAGAGATTCAGGATGAAACGGCCAAACTAACGAATCGAATAGATGACTTTGGGAAATTGTTTGAAAATTATACGTTGCTGGATAACCTGAAATCACCTCAATCAACTCCGAAACGACGTAAATCAGCCAGAAACTTAAACAAAGAAAAACGTTTGGAAAACGAGAACAATGAATTCAATGTTCCGTCGACTTCAAATCGATTCTCAAATTCTACATCTAACATGTCATCGCCAATTTCAAAGAACTCAGTTTCAAATAATGATCTGCCTTTAAACTGTCAGCCTACAAATGATGTGTCTAACATGGTGCCTGAAAACTTACCAATAAGTTACGCAGGAATAGTCAACAATCCTCCTGCTCCTCTTTTAAATGATGAACACCCTGGTATTATTACACTTAGAGCCATTCCACCGAAAAAAGTGTTTTTGTAACGAGACTTGCAGCTGAGACTACGGTTGAATCTGTTGATCTTTTCATTAAGTCGAAACTTGGGCAAACTACTGATATTTTAATTCATAAATTTAACTTAATTCAACAACGCTCAATCGCATCATTTAAAGTTACTGTCTCGGATAACATCTATAATCGGCTTATCGACACTGATTTTTGGCCTGAACATACAATTGTTCGTGAATTTATATATAGAGAAAGACAAAGACCCATTAATATTGGTTTCATACCTGAAAATACCGAACATGTTTCAAAAAACTAAGTTCTATCAATAATGATGATATTTCCATTATCTATCAAAATGTCCGTGGTATTCGAACCAAAATATCAAAATTGTATCTGGAAAGTTTTACGTTTGACTATCATATAATAGTACTTACAGAGACATGGTTAAATGAAACAAATCCTATGAAGAATTTTTCGACACACTCTTTGATTTTGGTCTATTTCAGGTAAATTCTATACGTAACTCCAGCCATAAGTTACTAGACCTTCCGTTTGGCAACATAGAAATCTTTGCAAAAGGATTTCGATGATTAATGGGAAAATTGGACGAAGATCCACTTTATGAGAGTATGCCAAAAATGAACTAAGTGAATGGATCACTTGAGGCGCAGTCGCGGTCAGCATTAGCATGATATATTATTTATATATTAAATGGGAGTTATGTCAACATATAGCCCTTTATAGTGGTACTGAATTTTCTAACCGATGTGATAGTAATTTGATCTTACTGCATATAAAGCTCCAGCTGCATCTTCAGAATGCTTAATATTCCCACTTGAATACTTGTTGTATTCCTTAGATTTTAAACCATTATCCCGCAGAAAATCCTGTCCGATTTTAAGTCTTTGAAATACGCACTATCGAAAGCATTTTGTTTTTCGATATATACTATTGTTAAAAGGTTATTAAAGTATTATAAACTGGTTATAACATTTTCAAGTTAGAATTATTAAGCTATCGATAACATAAAGGACAAAAACAGGTCACTCAGCTTGTTTTCAATTACTGGACTTGTCGAACAACATTCAGGAACAAATTGTACAAATTAGTGTGAGATATACTTCCTTAGTACATAAAGCAATTCCACAAAACGAAGGTAACGTGTTTCTCTTTTCTGGTGGAAAACAAAAGCGTGTTCAACATTTCCACAGAATTCCGTTATGGTTATGATAACAATATACAGTAATTAGAATTGAAATAAGGATACATGGAAATAAATAAGTCGAATGACAGTTGTTGTTTTGTTTGCAAACAAAGGCTTCAGTTATTAATGAAAGTCCAATATTTCATACAAAAAGTCTGGACTTTAATAACCAATAATGTCTATATCGAACAGAACATTAAGTTAATGATGTTTGACTATCATACACCTGGGTTTCCTGCCTTCTTACCTTGATATTAATAAGTCCTCGCTCAATACAATGATAGCCACCGACATTCTCCAATAAACGATACGTTTCCTCGGATATGTGAATTTTCATTGCCTCGCCGGAACTTTCCATACGTGATGCTGTATTGACTGTATCACCAAAAAGGCAATAACGTGGCATCTGTCGACGAAAAAGGGAAACGCAAAACAAAACAGGAACGTAACGAATGGAAGAAAACCAAATGAGAAATTTTACATAAACCATGCAATTTAATAATGTTGCGTAAAGTATTCAAGGATCTTTTTTGTTTTTCTTTATTTTGGTAGGGGAAATTAATGGCACACAAATGACGCACTCACTCACTTACCTTTAAACCGACAACACCAGCTGCACATGGTCCTGAATGCACTCCAATTCGCAGTTGTAATGTGTCATTGGGTTTATGTGGAATTTTCAAATTTGCCACACTTTGCAAAAGGTGCAAAGCTAACGACGCAATTTCGCCCACATGACGTTTGCCATTTCTCAGCGGAAGGCCGGATACGACCATATAAGCATCACCAATTGTTTCCACCTGTAAAAACAAAAAAAAGGCAAAAAAGGTGGAAAATATGAGGGTGGAATTAAAATAGTTAGTTGACGTACATCCCCAAAAATAATGGAGTGTCAGACAACCATCCACACAAGCTACGGGAAAATTAATTATGTATGTGTTGAAATAGCTTATTACGGAGAGTACAGTGCACAAATTATGCGATCAAAAGGACCATTAAAAAATTTCTAGGCTTTAGAAGGTCGTTTAGTATTATGAATATAAAGCTTCGGAAATATGAATATACAGTTTCGGAAATATCGTCATTATCTCTTAAAAAGCCAATTTTTTGTTTGTAAAATTCGTAGTACGAATGGCGCCCAACGTTAAATAGATTTGATCCATTATAACATTTTCAAAATGTACCCAGTGTTATGACACTGTATCACGCATTGCAAAGTAATTATCGTTACCAAAATAACACACACACGAAAAAAACGCACACGTAGAATAACAACTAACTTACCTTGTAAACATCATAGTTGGATATAATAGAATCGCAACACGTGTATAAATCATTCAACATTTCCACCACCTCGAACGGTGTACTGGTACTACAGAGCTCAGTGAAGCCGACAATGTCACTGAATAGTATTGTCACACAATCAAAACATTCCGCCTCGACGGGTTCGCCACGTTTCAAGGATTCGGCAACAGATCTGAAATTTAAAATGCAAATGTGTGGTGTACAATGAATGAGCAGGAAGAACCGAACAGGCTTATTAGGAAATGTACAATGAAACGTAAAATAATGGAAAAATGCTGTGCAAATATTTTTGTTAAATATTTGTTCTAACAATGAATTTTCAATAATGTACGAGTCATTTCAAACGAGACAGATCCATATTTACTTTTGAGAATATGCATTGATGTAAAATTTTAAACAAAATGTAGATCGCATTTATGATCCGAAGTTCATTATACCCTACACAACTATGTTTTCAGGGTATTATAGCTTTGTGCAGCCCCAAAAGTTTGTAACGCCGCGAAATATTGGTCCTAGACCCACCTTTAAGTATAATGATCGTCATATCTCGACTAGCTGAGTCGATCTAGACATGTGTGTCCGTCCGTCCGTCTGTCCATTATAATTTGCAAACACGATGCAGGCCACAGTTATGGACCAATATTCACGAAATTTTGCTTGTAGGATGGGTTCTGGCCAATGAAGACCCCTATTGTTTTTGGAAAAAATCGTTTAATATGTAGGGGATGAAATGGACCAAAAACTTTATTTTTGTCGTTTTTTCTGGTCGCTCCTGAGGCCGCAATTATGGCCCAAACATCGCGAATTTTTACATGGAGAAGGAGATCGGGCCAAAGTATAAGCATGCCTGTTTTGATAAAGATCGGTCAATATTTAGCGGGTCAAATTGACCCTGACTTTTGTGTCAAAAATAACAAAATTTGTATTCTATGGGGTATATATTTGCCTCTGAGGGACATAGACCCGAGATGTTGATAGTATCTCCAAGAGGAGTGGTTGACCTTTAAATTGATACCAGATGTCGGAGTTACACTTAAATATTTACAGGTGCTTACGTATTCAGATATTATTTAATAAACCATTACCACACTAGAGGGCGGATATATAGCCCTGATCGCTTTGAAATGTTCCAGTTATGGTCAAGGACAACGCCTATAATTTTCGGTGATGATCAGATACTAATTAGGGGATGAAGTGGACCAAAAACTTATTTTTTGTGTTTTTTCCTATTCAGGCTACAATTATAAGCCGAACATCACAACACAACCCACGGTGAAGGGAATATGGACGAGTAATTAGAAGGGCTGAATATTGGTAATATTCGGAAAATATGTCAGTGTCAGGAAGAGGTGCTGTAGTCCTCTAATCGGAACAGGGCGCAGATATCACGAAATATTGCCCAGGCTTGGAATAAACGTCCACAGAAAGTTACAGTTCGTATGGTCAGCCCCGTCCGACTATACTGCTCCGCTCACTGGTTTGACCCAAGGTTGAACCGTATTTATATTGTTCAAAATAGATTCGCATTTAGTTGTAGCTCTTATCGTCCGATTTTACCATAGTTCCAAGAATTGTCCGATTGAAACGAAATTTTTGATAACATACCAAATTGAAGCTGGAACAAGTAAAGTCGGACGACTACATGATACCATACACAACTTCCACTGACTTCTATGTTCCCGCGGATCTATTTTCAACTGCTCCTCTGCGGACAACCACTTCTCTGCGGCATCCTTTCGGAATGAAATGGTTTCCGGAATAACAATTTTCTCCATAAGATTCATATTTTTTATTTTACCCAAATTAGTTGGTTAGATTGCCTTCCCCATGGAAACTTTATGATGGTCGGTTGATAACTGTGACGTCCAAAGCGATAGGAAACCCTGATAAAAATCTTTCGGTTCGTTTCATCCTTGAAGTATCATAAAATCATCATCGAAAATTATAGGCGTCATCTTGACCGGAATCTCAAGCCAAATTTCCTAGTCATCAACACTACATTTTCGTCTTCTCTCTCTCCAGATCATGTAGGTCTCTCTTTACATGCCTATGTGGGAGAATTCTATCCATAAGATGATTGCATTGATGATTCCGGCATAACACCCAAACAGGTACTGAATCGATAACATCCTGTTTTGACGATGTACAGGTAAGACCACTGGCTCCTCAGGTAAATGATCCACTGATGTTATAAGCAGGCACCTTGTTGCAGTTTTCAGGGCGACATTCGAACAGGTTTGAATGTTCTTCCACTGCGTATCGCTTACATTCGCGAACCACAATGGCGCCGCATTGCTTACCACCGACAAACCTATTGCTTAGTAGGAGTTCAGCAAGGTCTCTTTACCCAAGACCTGCCGACAAGCGACTTGAGCATCTTGTTCCTGCTTCCCATCTTATCGCAAATAGCGGTCGAACGGTATTCACAAAATTTTGGGTAGTTTGTGGTCGGAATTAGTTCACCATCGATCATGATGTTCAGACAGAGCTTCATTTCAGCCGTCCATGTAATTACCAGAGTGGCCGTGGATTTAGCGGCGGATATCGTCTATTCCTCAGAGGGAAGGACTGCACTAAATCACTTATATAGATATTTAGCCTTTCACAAGTGTCACCGATAATGTGATCCGACGCCATGATCGTACTGTTATCCGCATACATTACGATATATTTGCTTTCCGGTGGTTGTTGAATTTCAGAAAGGTAGAGGTTCATCAGTTCCGAAGATATGACACCATCTTGGGGAACTCCTCTCTACGGGTTTCTGAGCTCCACATATGACTGGTGATCACACATGTATTTGATTATCCAACGTTTCAAACCAGGCCGGAGTTTCGTCTTCTCTATGTCCTCGAACAGCTTGGCGTGGAACCTACTTCTCATCAGAGGGAATAGGAGTGACTCAATCGTCTTTGTAACTGGAGACAGATTACAAATCGGTCTGTACGATTCACCTCTGCTGGTATCCTTGCCTCGCTTCAGTAGCGGGACCACCCTAATATCCCGGTGTCTAACGAAAGGTTGAGTCCAGCAGTTACGTACTCTACTCCTGGTTTCGAATGACATCTGCAACATCATCATTCGTAAATTATGGTGGTACCTCCTCCGCTCGAAGGGATCTAGTACGACGAAGCACACTACTTTTCGCCTTGTGTGCGGGTTAAAATAAAATTTAAAACTTGTCAATCAGCTAAACTAATGTCGGGTAAATAACGCGGTACAATTATTTAACGGCGGGATGTACACGTTAAGAACCTCTGTCTCGGAAGTAACACACTTTACTGCTACCCCCATACATTCCATGTATGGATCAATGGAGTCTAGCTCAGGCGAGATTGGTCTGTACTGTACAGAATGGTGTAACAAGAACAAGCTACCCACCTCCGTTTCTAGGGCCATCCTTTAGCAACACGTTGTAACCATTGCAAAGGTGCATGCTATGCACCTTTGCATGGTTTCCTGGATCGCGGCGACCATGATATTATTGAGATTAATAAAATTCACGATTTCGCTGATTCTGTTTCACAGTTAATCGCAGTTAAACTGCAAAAACGATGCATTTCCTGGCCCTTGTACCGCATGTGGTGTCAGACCTGGAAATTGCTATGTTGACGTAAGGGAAGGATCTTCGTCTCCTCATAAAGAAAATCTACAGGTGTCATGAGAGATTCATCCTTACTATCATATGGTGGCGTGTCAGGAAAGGTCTGCATGATCTAAAGCAGCTATGATCTGCATGACTTCAGATGCTCCATCCATTTATTCCGCATATACTCTGCGACTAATCTGCTAACATCTAACGTGAGTTTCCTGACCATGAAATCTGCTGGGTTAGATCGATGCTGATTTAAACAAATAGTGGCGGTGAAGAAGATACTCCATAACAAATAAGAGATGACGGTATAGAGTGTATACCACCTAGCCAAGATGAGGTCAGAATCGCAATCAATCGGCTGAAGAATAAGAAATCAGCAGGTGCGGATGGGTTACCAGCCGAACTATTCAAGACTAGAGGTCAGATGCTGCTCAGGAGCATGCACCAGCTGATTAGCATAATTGGGTTAGAGGAATGCATGCCCAGTGGCATTTTACGTATAGCTGGAAGGTCAGTAAAAAATATGAAGCGACATTTAAAAGCAAAGCAACCCTATACACAACCGTGGAGCTGGAAACCACGGAAAAGCGACAATGGTGTCCAGAGTAACAACTGCAGCGCAAACAAGTGTCCAGCCGAATATAACGGAGTTATGCCATCGACCACCACCCATTAAAAAGTGGAGAAAATATATGGGAAAGTCCTTCGAATGATTTTGAAAGATCATCATTCTGTACGTTTGGTTGAACTGCCAGAACTTAATGGGAATGCACAGCCATGCCAATTGAACTGAGTAACCATTTGAATTTAAAAAAAAAAATAATCTAGTTCGTTCGATCACCAAACTGAACGAGATTGCCCAAGATGAATCCGTAGGGGTGAAGGATATCACAGGATACCGAGAAGCGAAACCCAAATAATTAAAAAAGAAAAACGAAATAGTGTTTAGTAAATATGTTTTTTTTAAGGGGACCGCCCATTCTCGGGGTCAACAAATTTATTTGATTTAATTAAAATCTACACTAATTCAAGAATGTCCCTACAAAAATTCAAGAGAAACTCTTGAAGATATAGCCGATTTATTGTATCAGCTTCGAGTGACGGCTAAAGGGTTTCTCAAACTTTAAACGCGTTTTTCTCTTTTGTGAATGGCGGGCACGATAACTCAAAAACTAATGACCCAATCGATTCCACCCGATTTTTACACGTTTCTCTGTGAGTGTATAGCTATCGTATGAAATAGGATAAAGCCAATCGGTGAAGATCTTCCTTATTTTTTAACTTGGTTTTTGGTAAAAAATCGGCGATTTTCCAAAAATATTTTTTCAAAGGTCCGCCATTTTGTTAATTTTAGAGCGAAGTCAATAATCCTAGTTCATACGTTCCCTTAATCATTATTTGCAAAGTGAATGGATTTCGTGAGAAACCAGACTATACCTTAGGCTGACGTCAGAGTGCAAGCGAGAAGCGATGCGATACTACATGCTATAATAGTTCATGCTACTTCAATGCTATAGTATGTCAGAGTGAGTGCTATAGAGAGCAAAGCGTGTTGTTGGTTTATATCGCCTATTTCTGTTGTAAACTGGTGTTTATTGACTCAAGAAGGATTCCGACGAAGAATTTTTTATATCACAAAATGTTTTCAAAGTAATTTTTTAAAGAAAATTCATGAAATGAACAAATATTTCTGCATCGATTTCCCTTATTTTTTCCAAATTATTTTATTATTATTTAATTAAATTTGGACTTGAGTCCACAAAAATCCCGACAGATTGGTCCACGCCATTAAAATTCGATAAGATGCAAAAGAACGATGCCAAAAACCGATCAATAACGGTAAATAAAAATAATAAACAAAGAAACTCAAACAGAGCCAAAGCGAGCTCTTGCTATAAACCATTGCACAACACGCTTTATCGCTTGCACTCGCTTTGTCTCGCTTGTAGCGTAGCATCCACTCTGACAGCTTTTGCGCTATGCCATAAGAAAACACACGCAGAGGTTTATAGCGTCGTCTAGCGGCATATCATAGCATCGCTTCTCGCGCGCACTCTGACGTCAGCCTTAGTGTGCGTTAACGACGATAGCGAGAGAACAAGTGTTTAATCTACGACAGCGGGAAAGCATGTAATGTTGCGATGGACAATAAAGCTACAGCAAGGCCGTGACCACACAACTACGACCACAGCATTGAGAAGCGCCTCTCTGCATCCGAACTAAGCGAATGTTCCTTCCAGGAGATATAGTGGAAGAGGGCGAAACCCTCCCCTACAATCCGAACTAGGCGAATTAAGCTCCTGGAAGATATGCGTATAAGATATCCCCATTGGGATCCGAAGAGCGGCCAATTAAAGTGATTAATTGTAATGCTGTAGAAGGGGAAACAATGTATCGAACATATACATTGCCGTAAGCAATGTATAGAACATATAAAGTCGGCATTGTGCGTCTTTTGAGTTTCTCTTAATGGCTTTTGTACGATTTCGAGAAATTTGTATAAGCATGTATGTTATGTTTTGATCAAGTCGCTGTAGATGTAACATCCCGAAGTAATTTATTCCAATTCACTGTAAACAATTTACCAGAGATGCTTCGCCTTTCGTATACAGAATATATTGAATTAATTTCGTTTACATGCAATTACCCATACGTTGTTCTTTTTTTTTTGCCTGCGTACATGGAGTGTATTCTCTTACCTTGGCAACATTTGATTTAGCAGCATATCGGTTTTTTTCTTCTCCTCATAGAGTTGGGTGGTGCGCTCCTGTACCAATCCTTCCAAATTGTATGCATATTTTTCCATAATTGACAGCATATTATCGAAAATATTTGGCTTTCTGAAATGAATCAAAAATATTGTGTAGTGATGTGTGTGTATGTACGTTGCAAAATTGTTTAGATGTGTCGAAATAAAAAAAAATCAAAAACATATGTATGTAGGAGAGCGTATGTAAGTACGAAATCATGATGATGATACTGTGGTGAGTGGATTATTTTTCACATAATTTTCATTTGGCCAAATTACAGTTTCCACTAAATACTCAAATGTGTGTAATAAAGATAAAAGCACACACGCAATTATTTCCATTTCAATTGTTTTACAAATGGTACAAAGTCAAAAAGTTATTACCACTAATCCTAACACATTCACATATTCACCGAAAAACAAAAAAAGAAAACCAGTAAGGAAAGTAGTAAAGTCGGACGGGGCCGACTATATGATACCCTTCACCACTATGGGTATATTAAACAGGACTATTAACATGAAATATATATGGGAGCTATATAGACCGATTTTCTCGAAACTTGGCAGACATCACTCTAGGCTCAATTCAGTACGTTATGCCAAATTTCGTGCAAATCGAAGGATATATAGGGACTTTGGTGCACCATTTATATGAAATCGGACGAAACTATATATGATTTTCACGAAACTTAGCAAATTGCCAAATTTCGTGCAAATCGAAAGATATATAAGTACTTTGTGGCACCATTTACATGAAATCGGACGAAACTATATATGGAAGCTATATCTAAATCTGGACCGATTTTCTCGAAACTTGGCAGACATCACTCTAGGCTCAATTCAGTACGATATGCCAAATTTCGCGCAAATCGAAAGATATATAGGGACTTTGGGGCACCATTTACATGAAATCGGACGAAACTATATATGGGAGTTATATCTAAATCTGAACCGATTTTCTCAAAACTTGGCAAACATCACTCTAGGCTTAATTCAGTACGATATGCCAAATTTCGTGAAAATCGAAAGATATATAGGGACTTTGGGGCACCATTTACATGAAATCGGACGAAACTATATATGGGAGCTATATCTAAATCTGAACCGATTTTCTCAAAACTTGGCAGACATCACTCTAGGCTCAATTCAATACGTTATGCCAAATTTCGTGCAAATCGAAAGATATATAGGGACTTTGGGGCACCATTTACATGAAGACAGAGAGACATCACTCTAGGCTCAATTCAATACGTTATGCCAAATTTCGTGCAAATCGAAAGATATATTGGGACTTTGGGGCACCATTTACATGAAATCGGACGAAACTATATACGGGAGCTATATCTAAATCAGGACCGATTTTCACGAAACTTGGCAGACATCACTCTAGGCTTAATTCAGTACGATATGCCAAATTTCGTGCCAATCGAAAGACATATAGGGACTTTGGGGAACCATTTACATGAAATCGGACGAAACTATATATGGGAGGTATATCTAAATCTGAACCGATTTTCTTAAAACTTGGCAGACATCACTCTAGACTCAATTCAGTACTTTATGCCAAATTTCGTGCAAATCGAAAAATATATAACGACTTTGGTGCACCATTTACATGAAATCGGACGAAACTATATATGGGAGCTATATCTAAATCTGTACCGATTTTCACGAAACTTGGCAGACATAATTCTAGGCTCAATTCAGTACGTTATGCCAAAATTGGTGCCAATCGAAAGATATATAGGGACTTTTGATGCACCATTTACATGAAATCGGACGAAACTATATATGGGAGCTATATCTAAATCTGGACCGATTTTCACGAAACTTGGCAGACATCATTCTAGACCGAAATGATTAGGCTGTACGAAATTTCGTGCAAATCGAAAGATATATGTGGACTTTGGTGCACCATTTACATGAAATCGGACGAAACTATATATGGGAGCTATATCTAAATCTGGACCGATTTTCATGAAACTTGGCAGACATCATTCTAGACCTAAATGATTAGGCTGTACCAAATTTCGTGCAAATCGAAAGATATATAGGGACCGTTTACATTAAATCGGTTAAATATATATATGGGAGCTATATCTAAATCTGAACCGATTTTTCCCAATTTCAATAGGGTTCGTCCTTAGGCCGAATAAGTGACCTATGCCAAATTTCATCCAATTCGGATCATAAATGCGACCTGTACTTTGTTTACAATTTAACATGGACAGACAGACGGACGGACGGACATGCATAAATCGACTTCAAAAGTGAATCTATGCATATTCTCAAAAGGAACCATGTGTCTATCTCGTTTCCTTTTGCCTGCTACAAACATATGCACAAAGACATAATACCCTGTACCACAGTGTGGTGAAGGGTATAAAAAGTTACTGTAATATAATCCGATAATTGCACCTTTGGTAAAATTTCACCAAAAGGGAATCAAAATTGAGAAAGTAATTTGAAAAATCCCATATGTGTGAATTATTTATTTTTCATATTCCGAGATTAAACTTTTTTTCGAATACATCAAGTAAGTTGTACTGTTGGTTACAGATGTTCAACTTTTTTTTCATGTTTCATATTTCAGTAGCATTAAATTATTCCCAAAGATAATTTAGAATTTCTGTCCTTACATAAGGTGTAACCAAAATTCAACACTGACACACACACACCTACAATTCCCAGAGGTCACTGGGTAATTGCACCACTTAGTATTCTCAGTGGCTAATTATAAATGAATACAAAATAAATAATTGTTCTATGAATTTATCAGAAAACTTTTTTCAAGCTAACAAAAACGGCAATGGACTTTAACTATTCTGGCAGGAATAAAAAAAAAATTTGGACAACAAAAAAATATTCAGATATTTGGTATCTTAAATGAATGAATTGAATTAAATACTTACAGCCCCGCCTGCAGTTCCTTTAATTTCATGCGCACTAAACGAATATCGGGTCGCATTTCGGGATCCTCCTCCCAACATGAACGTAAACATTGTCGCACATATTCAGGTATATCGAGTTGTGACAGTGATGGACGGAATATTCCATGATGTAAAAGTTCGGGCTGTTTGACATATGCGACAATTTCTGAAAGTAATGAAAAGCAAGAAATGTGTTAGTAGGAGAATTAAAAATTGAGCCGGATCGGACGTTTTATACCCTCCATTATCAGGTTCCAACCAATTGGAATCCAAACTTTGAATTAGAGCTAATTCGATTAACAAATGTGCCCAAAAAAACGCTAAAAATTACATGGGAGCTATTCTGAAACTGGGACCAATATTGATCATTATACCCTTTACCACACTGTGGTACAGGGTATTATGTCTTTGGGCATATGTTTGTAACAGGCAAAAGGAAACGAGATAGACCTATGGTTCCTTTTGAGAATATGCATTGAATCACTTTCTGAGTCGATTTATGCATCTGTCCGTCTGTCTGTCCATGTTAACAAAGTACAGGCCGCATTTATGATCCGAATTGGATGAAATTGGGCACAGCCCATTTCTTTGGCTCAAGGACAAACCCTATTGAAATTGGGAAAATCGGTTCAGATTTAGATATAGCTCCCATATATAATTTCGTCCGATGTTTAGAAAATTGTGCACCAAAGATTCAAATTTAGGCTGATTTGTACGAAATTTTGCACTACACCTAAGGTGTGCCAAGTTTCATTGAAATCGGTTCAGATTTAGAATAGCTCCCATATATATTTTCGTCCGATATTTAGCAAAGAGTCAAATTTAGGCCGAATGGCACGAAATTTTGTACGGAGTACTGAAGTTAGGATAGTCTAAAGTGTGCCAAGTTTTATTGAAATCGGTTCAGATTTCGATATAGTTCCCATATATATATACGTCCGATTTTTAATGAATTGTGCACCAAAGTGTCAAATTTAGGCCAAATGACACGAAATTTTGCACAACATACTGAAGTTAGGACAGTCTAATGTGTGCCAAGTTTTATTGAAATCGGTTCAGATTTAGATATAGCTCCCATATACATTTTCGTGCGATTTTTTCAAATTCAGGCCGGATGCCATGAAATTTTGCACAACGTACGATTAGTACATCGTAGTCAAAGACTACAGTTAGAGGAGGCTATTCTGAAACTGGGGCCAATATTGATCATTTTAATTAAGAAGATTTTCTATATAATGACAAATCTAAAATATGAGAAATACATTAAAATTTCGATAATGCGTACTCCATAATCCGAATATGTTTGTCTCTATTTGACTGTACTATTCGAATTGTGAACACACATTTGTTTTTACGAATTATTATACCCTCCACCATAGTACAGAGGATATTTGAAGTATGTTTTTCCGTTTGTAACTCATCAAAACATTAATTTCCGACCCAAGCCATGTCCGTCCGTTCGTCAAGTCAAATTCGATTGGGCTATATCGGTCCTCCTTTTGGAATAGCCTTCATATAAAAGAATCTCCAAATTTGCGATAGTTTAAGATTTCGTACACGCTTTTTAAACCGACGGTAAGGCCGGCCGAACTTATACCCTCCACCATAGTGTACTGGAGGGTATATATATATATAAGCTAACACCCTATAAAGTACCTATAAACCTTATAAAGTATATTTATTCGCGATCAGCGTAAAATTCTTTACCGATTTAGACATGTCCTAGCCTCTAAACGAATTGAGATATCGCCAAAATTTTGATAGAGTTGTAGGCAGGTCAAGTTCGAAGATGAGCTATATTGGTCCACGTTTAAGCATACCTCCCATATAAGAGCACCCCCCCATTTTCGGTATTTTGGGGTTCTTGAGCGCGTTTTTCAACCGAATTCGCTGAAATTTGGTATATTGAGTTGCTATTGGGTACCCAATTTCGTCACAAAAAATTATACATATAGGTCCATTTTTTTCTGGTAGCCCCCATATAACGGTGCCCTCTAATTTTCAGTATTTTGGGGGTTTTAATCGTAGTTTTCAACCGAATTGACTGAAATTTCGTACTTTGAGTTCTTATTGGGTACCAAATCTCTCCACTAAAAAATATAAATATAGGTCCATTTTTTCTGGTAGCCCCCACATAAGGGTACCCCCCAAATGTCGGTATTTTGGGGTTCTTGAGCGCGTTTTTCAACCGGTTTCGCTGAAATTTTGCACATTTGGTTCCTATTGGGTGCCAAATATCTCCATCAAAAATTATAAATATAGGTCCAATTTTACTGGTAGCTCCCATATAAGGGTAACCCCAATTTTCGCTATTTTGAGGTTCTTGAGCACGTTTTTCAACCGAATTCGCTGCAATTTGGTATTTTGTCCCCATATAACGGTTTTTATACCCTTCACCACTCTGTGGTACAGGGTATTATGTCTTTGTGCATATGTTTGTAACAGGCAAAAGGAAACGAGATAGACACATGGTTCCTTTTGAGAATATGCATAGAATCACTTTCTGAGTCGATTTATGCATGTCCGTCCGTCCGTCCGTCCGTCTGTCCGTCTGTCCGTCCGTCTGTAGATGTTAAATTGTAAACAAAGTACAGGTCGCATTTATGATCCGATTTGAATGAAATTTGGCACAGGTCACTTATTTGGCCCAAGGACGAACCCTATTGAAATTGGGAAAAATCGGTTCAGATTTAGATATAGCTCCCATATATATATTTAACCGATTTAATGTAAACGGTCCCTATATATCTTTCGATTTGCACGAAATTTGGTACAGCCTAATCATTTAGGTCTAGAATGATGTGTGCCAAGTTTCGTGAAAATCGGTCCAGATTTAGATATAGCTCCCATATATAGTTTCGTCCGATTTCATGTAAATGGTACACCAAAGTCGCTATATATCTTTCGATTTGCACGAAATTTGGCATAACGTACTGAATTGAGCCTAGAAAGATGTCTGCCAAGTTTCAAGAAAATCGGTCCAGATTTCTATATAGCTCCCATATATAGTTTCGTCCGATTTCATGTAAATGATGCACCAAAGTCGCTATATATCTTTCGATTTGCACGAAATTTGGCATAACGTACTGAATTGAGCCTAGAATGATGTCTGCCAAGTTTCGAGAAAATCGGTCCAGATTTAGATATAGCTCCCATATATAGTTTCGTCCAATTTCATGTACATGGTGCACCAAAGTCGCTATATATCTTTCGATTTGCACGAAATTTTGCATAACGTACTGAATTGAGTCTACAATGATGTCTGCCAAGTTTCGTGAAAATCGGTCAAGATTTAGATATAGCTCCCATATATAGTTTCGTCCGATTTCATGTAAATGGTGCACCAAAGTCCCTATATATCTTTCGATTTGCACGAAATTTGGCATAACGTACTGAATTGAGCCTAGAAAGATGTCTGCCAATATACCCTTCACCACTCTGTGGTACAGGGTATTATGTCTTTGTGCATATGTTTGTAACAGGCAAAAGGAAACGAGATAGACACATGGTTCCTTTTGAGAATATGCATAGAATCACTTTCTGAGTCGATTTATGCATGTCCGTCCGTCCGTCCGTCCGTCTGTCCGTCTGTCCGTCCGTCTGTAGATGTTAAATTGTAAACAAAGTACAGGTCGCATTTATGATCCGATTTGAATGAAATTTGGCACAGGTCACTTATTTGGCCCAAGGACGAACCCTATTGAAATTGGGAAAAATCGGTTCAGATTTAGATATAGCTCCCATATATATATTTAACCGATTTAATGTAAACGGTCCCTATATATCTTTCGATTTGCACGAAATTTGGTACAGCCTAATCATTTAGGTCTAGAATGATGTGTGCCAAGTTTCGTGAAAATCGGTCCAGATTTAGATATAGCTCCCATATATAGTTTCGTCCGATTTCATGTAAATGGTACACCAAAGTCGCTATATATCTTTCGATTTGCACGAAATTTGGCATAACGTACTGAATTGAGCCTAGAAAGATGTCTGCCAAGTTTCAAGAAAATCGGTCCAGATTTCTATATAGCTCCCATATATAGTTTCGTCCGATTTCATGTAAATGATGCACCAAAGTCGCTATATATCTTTCGATTTGCACGAAATTTGGCATAACGTACTGAATTGAGCCTAGAATGATGTCTGCCAAGTTTCGAGAAAATCGGTCCAGATTTAGATATAGCTCCCATATATAGTTTCGTCCAATTTCATGTACATGGTGCACCAAAGTCGCAATATATCTTTCGATTTGCACGAAATTTGGCATAACGTACTCAATTGAGCCTAGAGCGATGTCTGCCTTTTTTCGTGAAAATCGGTCCAGATTTAGATATAGCTCCCATATATAGTTTCGTCCGATTTCATGTAAATGGTGCACCAAAGTCGCTAAATATCTTTCTATTTGCAAGAAATTTGGCATAACGTACTGAATTGAGTCTAGAATGAATGTCTCCCAAGTTTCGAGAAAACCGGTCCAGATTTCTATATAGCTCCCATATATAGTTTCGTCCGATTTCATGTATATGGTTCACCCAAGTCTCTATATATCTTTCGATTTGCACGAATAGTCCTGTAATAGTCCTGTTTAATATACCCATAGTGGTGAAGGGTATCATATAGTCGGCCCCGTCCGACTTTACTACTTTCCTTACTGGTTTTATATTCAAATAGTTATGCAACTATATCACCTGCGGATGATATCGAGATAAAAAACTAGCACGTAAGGTTCGATAATGAACTATATATGAACTATAACCCGTATTTAGACCTAGCCCCTGTGTGGGAGGTACCAGAAGGAGTGGTCCGATATTCCCCATCTTCGAATTTTAACTAAGTTTGGAAGAAATAATATGATGGGCAAAGTTTGGATGAAATCTAAGTTTTCTGAAACGGATTTGGTCCAAAGAAACATGGGGTCTAAAATCAATATTTCGATGAGGCATATTTTCACGGTGTAATGTGTATACACCCTCATTAGCCATAAGGCTGAGGGTATAATTATCCATTAAAAATTTCTAACATTTGTATGATTTACATAATCCGTTTTTAGAAATCTCGGTATAGGTCCCCTTTTTGGTATGTTCCCTATATTTTCATTTCTAGTTGCTGTCAATATATCTATGGTCGAGGGTATCCAAAGTTCGGCCCGGCCGAACTTACCGCTTCTTCACTTGTTTCTTCTTATTCTTATCGATTTTAAATTTAAACTACTATTTTGACCATGATACAACGTTTTCGCAAAATTTTGGATTTTCGGAGGTAATGCAGCACCATGCTTTAGGATAGCTTTATACAGGGTCCCCAGTTTAATGTAGGAAATGCATCCTACAAGCCTGTTGAAGCTTCAATGTAGCACCACATTTGCAATCTTGAATTTTATGTTCAGTGTGTTTATGAGCTGTCCTGGCTAATTCGACAAAATTATTTATTTTTGTGGTTAAAAATAAAAACGCGCCTGACATTTCCTCCATTAAGTGTCATTTATCTTCGAGAGAAACCATTGTCAACTTTTAGTGACGACTGCCTGGCAATGACCCCTAAATACCAAATCCATTTTTTCAAAGAACATTTATTTATTATCATTGAAAAAAAAAAATACAACTTACCCTCATTTGAGTAGGATGTTGTGCCCCAAGGGCCCTTGCGACCAATAATCTCATATAAAACAATACCAAATGCGTAGACATCGCCTTTTTGGGTGCCACGAGCTGGTGGCGATGGATCTCTTAACAGTTCAGGAGCTTTCCACAAGGCACGTTTTAATTCCAAATCTCTTCTGTGAAAAAACAACAAAAAACAGAAACAACAATGTCACTCACACACACACACAAAACAAACCAGTAGTGTGGGAGGGACAATGACAACAAATTTGTGCCCGAAATTTTAAAATGCTTTTAAAATCAGTTTTTGTTTTCATTTTAGGATGACAGTTTTTATTTCTTGAAAAGCCATAAAGACAATAACCACACGTTGTGGTTAGTTGTTAACATGGCCAACAAGTTTCAAGCCAAAGAAAAAGAAAATTAACTTATTGAAGAGTGTTGAAAGCTTGAAGTTTTCTTTAATAACGATAAATGTCCTTTAGATGCCCAAAATGAAGGAGAATAAAAAAACATATCTTAAATCTCAACTTACTTGTGCGGTTCCTCTTGTCCATATTTAAATTCGTGCAGACCAAAATCTGAGATCTGACAAACCCAACGGGAATCGATTAGGCAATTACTCGATCTCAAATTACCATGTGATACAATTTCCGAATCATGTAGGGCAATCATACCCTTAAGTATATCACTGACCAACGACGAAATGAACATGTGATCCAAATGTAAATCGTCATTGGCCAGAACATCCTCGAGACTACCCCGGGCACAATACGTAGTGAATATGATGACATTTCCATGATCAATTGAGACACCAATAAAATTGATGATATTCTCATGACGAAGCTGTAATGAAATGATTAAGCAAATTTTGTTTTTTTATAATATTTGGAAAATGTTCAAGTACACCTTACCTCTCGCATTTGTTTTAATTCCTTACGAATGGAACGTGTTATATCTACAGTTTTCTTATATACTCTTTTCATGGCAACTATGTTGCCACGGTATAAACCTGTAAGGAAATATAAAAGATGGGAGATTTGAAATAAATTTTTCTTAATTTTCATTGTCTATACGACAATGTGGTGATATCAGAGTACGTATTGTATATGCCTCAAAAGTTAACTTAACTTAGGACTATTCCAAAAAATATGGACGTACATAGAAAATGTTGTGCTGGACAATCCAGCCAGCATGGCAAAACAGACATGCTTATTCTTTGGCCCAATCCACTTCACCATGTAAAAATTCGAGATGTTTTGGCCATAATTGCGTCCCCTGAAGCGACCAGAAAAACCGACAAAAATTAAGTATTTGGTCCATTTCATCCCCTAAATATAAACGATCTTTACCAAAACCATTGGCCAGAACCCATCCTACATGCAAAATTTCGGTTTGGGTTTAGTTATACCTACATATATATTTCCGTCCGATTTAATGTAAATGGTGTACCAAAGTCCCTATATATCATTCGATTTGCATGAAATTTGACATAGCGTGCTGAATTGAATCTAAAATGATGTGTGTTAAGTTTCCAGAAAGTTGGTTCAAACTTTAAACACATTTTTCTGAAAGCAGTGTTTTATGAATGGCGGGCACGATAACATAAAACCTAATAATCCAATCGGTTCCAAATTTTGACACGTTTCTCTGGGAGTGTATAGCTTTCGTATGAACTAGGATAAAGCCAATCGGTGAAGATCTTCCTTATTTTTTAACTTAGTTTGTGGTCAAAAATAGGCGATTTTCCAAAAAAAAAAAAAAAAAAAACAGTAAGGAATGTAGTAAAGTCGGACGGGGACGACCATATGATACTCTTCACCACTTTGGGTATATTCAACAGATGAATTCTAACATACGTCGCATTTTTAAAGGACCAGTAAAATGAAATTGGATCCATAAACATTTCATTGTTCAACCGATTTCAGGAAACTTAACACACATCATTCTAGACGTAATTCATTACGCTAGAAATATATTAAGGGACTTTTGTACACCATTTACATTAAATCGGACGAAAATATATATGGGAGCTATATCTAAATCTGGACCGATCTTAAGAATACTTAACACACATCATTCTAGACATAATTCAGTACGCTTTGCCAAATTTTCTGCAAATCGAAATACATATAGGTACATTGGTGCACCATATACATTAAATCGGACGAAAATATATATGATATCTATATCTAAATCTGGACCGATTTTCAGGAAACTCAACACACATCATTCTAGATCTAATTCATTAAGCTGTGCCGAATTTCGTGCACATCGAAAGATATATAGGGACTTTGTTGCGCCATTTACATAAAATCGGACGAAAATATATATGGGAGCTATATCTATATCGTAACTGATTTTCACGAAAATTAGCACACATCATTCTAGACCTAATTCATTACGCTGTGTCAAATTTCGTGCAAATCGAAAGATATATAGGCTCTTTGGTACACTATTTACTTTAAATCGGACGAAAATATATATGGAAGCTATATCTAAATCTGAACCATTTTCAGGAAGCTTAACACACATCATTCTAGACCTAATTCATTACGCTATGCCAAATTTGGAGCAAAATATATATGGGAGCTATATCTAAATCTGAACCGATTTTTCTAAATTTCAATAGGGTTCGTCCTTGACCTATGCCAAATTTCATCCAATTCGGATTATAAATGCGACCTGTACTTTGTTTAACATGGACAGACGGACATGCGTAAATCCGATCAGAAAGTGATTCTATGCATATTCTCAAAATGAACCCTGTGTCTATCTCGATTCCTTTTGCCTGTTACAAACATATGCACAAATACATAATACCCTGTACCCTGTGAAGGGTATAAAAAATATGTAAATCTGGTTCGATTTCGTATGATGTAGTACAACTCCTTGTGCAAACAAAAAATGAAAATAAATTATAACCTATTATTATAACCTTTTCAATAAGTGGGTTGTGCCAAATTTCATATCATTCGGATCATAACTGCGACAATTTAACATGGACATGCGGACGGACGATCGGATCGAAAAATCGTCTAAGAAAGTGATCCTATGCATATTCTTGAAAGGAACCATGGGTCTATTCTGCTTTCTTTTTCCTGTTACAAACACATACACAAATACATAATACCCTTTACCTGTTGTAAAGGATATAAAAGGGAGTTATATGGGGACTACCTTCAGAGGGGAACATGCCAAATTACAGTCAATTCAATTGGAGCTTGTCAAAAATGCACAAACATCTGGATATTTTGGGGGGCTATCCTGAAAATTGGGCCGATATTAATAATTAATAGGCATATTTCGTACCAAATGGGAATCAAATATACCAAACTTCATCGATTTCGGTAGAAAAATGCGACCAAGCTCCCCAAAATACCGACAGATGGGGGCTATCTGAAAGAGTTGATCAATATTTATATTTTTAAACGGAAGATTTGTTATCCAATGGGATCTCAAAATACTAAAAACCACATCCATTAAATACCGCAAATTAGTATTTTTCGCTATATGTAGACTCCAATAATGCATCGACCGATATAGCCCATCTTTGAACTTGACCTGCAGACAAACGAGTTTATAGGGCCAAAATGAGCTTATTTTGAATAATACGCGAGGGAATTTTGCTAACCCTGATAAAAATAAAATTCGATTTTTTGAAACCATCTTCGAACTTAAATTGAGTTTGAAAGAAAATGTATGATCCACAGTTTGGATTAAATCGGACATTATTTTAGTCTAATATTGGATTAATATTAATATCAAAATGTATTTCGTTCAGCATTTTTATACCCTCCACCACAGTAGGGAGGGTATATTAGTTTTGTTTTTCCGTTTGTAACGCATCGAAATAATCATTTCCGACCCTATAAAGTATATATATTCTTGATCAGCGTACAATTCTCTGACGATCTAAGCATGTCCGTCTGTCTGTTGTAATCACTCTAGCGTCTAAACGAATTGAGATAGAACGTTCAAATTTTGCAGAGTCGTCTTTTGTCTGCAGGCAGGTCAAGTTCGATGATGGGCTATATCGCTGAAATTTGGCACATTGCGTTCTTATTCGGTACCAAATAGCTCAACTAAAAATTATAAATATAGGTCCACTTTTTCTGGTAGCCCCCATATAACGGTATCTTCCATTTTTCTTTCTTAGCAATTTCTTATTGGTTAGCAAATCTCTCTACAAAAAATTATAGATATGGGTCCATTTTTTCGGGTATTTTGGGTATCTTTGGGGTTCTTTAGCGCGTTTTTCAACCGAATTCGCTCAAATTTGGTACAATGGGTTCCTATTCCATACCAATTTACTTCACTACAAATTATAAATATAGGTCTACTTTTTCTGGTAGCCCCCATATAACGGTAACTCCCATTTTTCAGTTTTTGTGGGGTTTTGACCGGATTTTTTCACCGAGTTGGCTGTAATTTAGTACTTTGAGTTCTTTTTGGGTAGCAAATCTCTCCACAAAAAATTATTAATATAGGTTCATTTGTTCGGGTAGCCCCCTTTTAAAGGTACCTCCAATTTTCGGTATTTTGGGGTTCTTGAGCGCGTTTTTCAACCGAATTCGCTGTAATTTGGTATTTTGTAGTCGTATATGGTAACGAATCTCCCCACCAAAAATTGTTAATATTCTCCCCTTTCTAGGGGTAGTCCCCATATAACCCCCTTTTTATACCCTTCACCACACTGTGGTCAGGGTATTATGTCTTTGTGCATATGTTTGTAACAGGCAAAAATAATCGAGATAGACCCATGGTTCCTTTTGAGAATATGCATAGAATCACTTTCTGAGTCGATTTATGCATGTCCGTCCGTCCGTCTGTCCGTCTGTAGATGTGAAATTGTAAACAAAGTACAGGTCGCATTTATGATCCGAATTGGATGAAATTTGGCACAGCTCATTTGTTTGGCCCAAGGACGAACCCTATTGAAATTGGGAAAAATCGGTTCAGATTTAGATATAGCCCCCATATATATTTTCGTCCGATTTAATGTAAACGGTCCCTATATATCTTTCGATTTGCACGAAAATTGGCACAGCGTAATGAATTAGTTGTAGAATGATGTGTGTAAAATTTCATAAAAATCGCTTCAGGTTTAGATATAGCTCCCATATATATCCTCGTCCGATTTAAGGTAAATTGTGTACCAGAGCCCCTATATATCTTTCGATTTGCACGTAATGAATAAGGTCTAGAATAATGTATGCCAAGTTTCGTGAAAATCGGTTCAGATTTAAATGTAGCTCCCACATATATGTTCGTTCTATTTTATGTACTTGGTGCACCAAAGTCCCTATATATCTTTCGATGTGCACGAATTTTGGTATAGAGTACTGAAATAAGACTAGAATGATGTTGCTAAGCTTCGTGAGAAGATCCATAGCTAGGCCGATTGGCACAACGTACTGAAGTAATATAAATTAATCTCTGGCAAGTTTCCCTGAAATCGGTTCAGATATAGATATATAACAAACACGCGACGTCTGCTAGGATACATATGTAGAATATACCCAAAGTGGTCGGCCCAGTCCGAGTTTACTACTTTCCTTACTAGTTTATTTTAACATAGTAATCCGATTTTTTCCATGTGTTGGGGTAGTCGTTACTGCGTATAGTCAATTTTTTCCCTACAAGGACGATTTAGCCATCTGTTGTTGTCATTCCGCCTTCTAAAGATATCGTGATAAAAAAACGCAATAGTGAAATATATCAGCAGACATTTCGGCATCTCCTCAATATAGTGATACTTTCTGAAGGAAAGAATTAAGATAAAAAAAATTAAAATATTGGGCTACAAATTGACATATACCGGTCATAAATTAGGCATAGCCCTCATATAATGATATCCCCAAATATTTGCTACTTCCTACACTATGTAATCAATATTGGTCCCCCTTTAGGCAGAGCCTCATATAACTTTATAATCTAAATTACAGTAGTTTGAGGATTTTATACTCTACCATGCGTTATCAGTATCAGTCCACTTTTTGGATCTTACAGATTTTAGGAAAAATCCCCATTAAAATTTGCTGGTTTACATAAATCGGTTTGTAGA